ATTGTTAGCCAGGCGTAAGAGCGATTGTGACTCTTGCTGGGACCAGCGGGTACCGGAATACTTCACTCGGCCAAGCTTATCTGCATTATGCTGGGTGGGGTGTGCGTGCCGGCGGTGTTGACTCAGGCCAACCTTCGTCGGAAAAAGGTGGGAACAATCAGCGCAGGCCAATTGGGCAACCGCGTTCGTACCAACACTTTCACTGTCGTGAACTCGATGATGGGCTACCAAGCCAGCTTTCGATTTGCAGCACTTGCCACATTCCTCACACGTGAACCCAATGAGTCTCTCCTATGTACTGGTTGGAACTGGTGTGGAGGCGCCAGATGATTCGTAGTATACATTGTCGAAAGTAACCAGCACATTGAAACCAAACGGGGTAGTTAGCCCTGTCTGGAGTTGCTGAACTCTTAGCTCACCCAGACTGACGTCCAGGCTACCCGGTCGGCACCGCGAGGAGGTGGTTCAGCTCGCCGTCACTCTCGATGCTCATCTTGCAGCGTCAGTTGGGTCGAATGGCAAAATCTCGACAACAAAACCTGTTCAAACGAGTTTGAGGTAGATAGATTGAACCACTGGGTCCAACAGCTATCAAGCAGTAGTGTGAAAGATGTCTTATGTAGTTAGTTTTTCGGTCATTTTATCGGAATATCCTCCGGAAACGACCAGAGTACATCCACCATGGGCTGAACCGGTCAAACTACTGCTCGACGCACACCTACAGGAGCTTCATTTTGTGACAGTTTAGGCAATTAGACGTCCAATCCAACTCAACCCTTATCCGTAGGACTGGAGTAACTAAGCCTTAATAACCCCACACTGCTCTAATGGATCCGACCAAACTCTGTGCTGATGTCTTCTAACATATATTGAGGAAATTTATAACCTATAGACAAATAAACATGGACCACAGTGTTCATCGATCTCAATTTTCAGGCCACTACCGAGATTCTGCTTAGATGGTTTCCGCCACTTGTCTGTTTTGAACTCAGGAGTGCATAATAATTTAGAGTCGGGTAACGATATAGCGTTATCGAGTGCACACGACACAGCATGCCATTTCAAAATACTTTACTATTCAGAACGTAAATAATTAAACCAACGGAGTGCACCAAGAATGGTGCCCTTTACAGTAAAAACCGTCCAGGTTAGTCTCAACACATTTCCATAGTCTCAGAGCAACTGTATTCCATAGATGACGTTCCACTAGAAGGGAAACGCAATATAGAGCGAATAGTGGATAGTTACTTCTTATGACGATGCGTGTTTTTACCACGTTTCCAGGATAGTAAGTCAGTCTTGTCTTCCTAACTGTTAACAGACGAAGATGCGGATTATGTAAATGTCCCGGGATCGACAGCCCCTGGGGCCAGACCACGGGAGCAAAAATCCAAGCACAAAACACACGAAAGCAGTGAGCATTCGAACGAACAAAGCTCTTATGACCCTCGTGTGACTGATGGGATGCAAGATCTTCCGCAATCGACGGTTGTAATGAGGCGTAAGGAGAAAGCGGGTGAAAAGTCTCAGTCACGTCCAACCGTCAGTCCACGTAAAACAGGGATATCAATGGCCCAAAAAACACCAACTGCACGTCCGCCACCTCCTCAGGGTTATCGCACAACGCAAGACGATTTCGACGAAGACGATGATGAGGACCTTGAGGATTCGGAGGAAGAGTTGAAACCACCTGCATTACGAAGTATTCCTCAAACTAAGAAGTCCTCCGATTCACTGGTACGCGGAAGTCAACCAGGTAAGGAGCTTCAATTGAACGATTACTTTCACTGTTGTGGGACTTGTTTGATATTCAGGTGGTTGTCTTTTGTGGCCTAGGAGTACGTTACAGTTGATCGATTAATTGAATTCTCCAACTGGTCTATCGCCGAGTTTAGCAGTGAAATTATCAGTATGCTCATGGATGTCGCCTCAATTAGTCAAGAAGAGTGTGTGAACCCGCTGCTAAGCTCAGTGAACAGGTCACTCATCACCCCGTAAGCACACGTAAGCTACAGATTGCCTGTTTCAGAAGGGCTTTATAAGCAGTCGGTAGTTTTTAATGGAGCCTAATTCTTTAATTAAATCACACGAAACTAGGGAAGTTGAGCAGGGTGAAGTAAAGACACTTGAGGGTTATGCATCCTTGTAAGATGTAGACTATGAAATGGCGTTCTAACTACTCACTAAAAATTTACGTTTGCTTTAGTAAGAAACCATCCTGAACATTCAAGAAGGAGAATGTAACCTTGTATGTTTGTTTCATCTGTCACTAAGGGAACCTATTCTACGGTACCGACTTACCGTAGCATTTGATGGAGATTTGACTAATTATCTAAGCTTGATCACCAGCAGGTTTGGAATAAGTTAATAATACATTTTAAGACAAAATATTCCAATTAGAAATGAATTGCTCATCCTTTAAAAACGGTTTGCCTTAGTGGACACAGCAAACGAACTACTTCACCCGCATTCTCTGACAAGAGCACTCTTACCCACGGGGGCAACTGCGTTTTTAACTGTCGCGTCTAACTAACCAGGAAGACAGTTAGGTGCTCAGTCGATCACATCATCAACTCAGAAAAGATGTTTTTCATCGCTTTTAACAAAACAATGTGTTTTGTACCCGGATCGAGTTCCAAAACCCTCTGCTTAGGTTGACTATACAGTATGAGATAAACTGATCAAATGACTGATTCATAGTAGGGAACTATGTTTACCTGATAACGATGAAACCGAATCAGTATTGCCATGATACTTGATATAGTATTCACGCGGTACCATTTAGCCACAAACCCTGTTTCGCACGCATCAGCTAATACTAGCAAACAAGAGTGGTGTGTGTACACGTGTTTGTGTTAAGATATCCGGTGTGATGTCCACTGTTTTCGACCACTTCCCGACAAACTGGTTACGTAATCGGTCTGTAACTTCTGGTGAAACGTGTTTCGGATGGTGCCTGAAGATTTGAACCGAGCATTTTGAAGAAATACGGTTCGAAGTTACGAATTTTACTACGATTAGAGAAACACTTCACAAAGCTGTGACTTTAGGTTGTACGACCATATACGGGGAACACAATGAACGTGTGTGTGTTTGATATCTGGCCGTGTATGCGAGTGCACTTGCACTCTTGAAGTGGTTTATTGAGAGTAAAACAGTTAGCTTCATTCATGAATCTTAATAACCAGTACAGAAAACGGACATTCTTTGGGCAGCGCCATGTTACACGTTTAACCGATCGCGAATGAATGGCACGTGGGATGCAAACGGACGTGTAGTATCAAACTGGCATCCGGGATTAGAATTGGAGCAGTGTGACCAAATGTCCTCTAACGTTGTCCATGAGGATCAGGGTCTTTTTGAACGCACTGGCTAGACTAGATTAGATCTTGAAAAGCTGATACCAGTCAAGCACCCGAAGTGAATGCGTTGTTTGACCAAGCAATGAACATTTTTGGTAGGTGCTCTTCGAAATCAGTTCGAAGAAGTTTGAAGGGATCGAGCGCTGTGGGTTCATGATCCCACAAGGGTTCATGAACACAATGAATAATGTTGTTGAAAAAGTGGTGTGGGTCACTGCCATCGATCAAAACACTGCATCCGCTCCCGATAACTTCAAATCATGTTTGTTCGTTCACCTGCAGCCGTTGAGATTTTGATATTGAAGCAGCTGAATACAGGTCTGCGTCATGTGAAAAAGAAAATATACTGCAACATGCATTCGTTCGTTCAGCTGTCGCACCCTTTCAGCGCCTAACTGCCATACCACCCGAACGTTGCACGAGGGCTGGGATACTGCCAGATTGTCCAAGCCTAGGCAGGGGAAGTCGAGAGGTAGATGCCGGGTTCGAACCACAGACCTTCCGGTCAGTAAATTCGTGCTCTAACCACTTGGGCCATCTCGCCCGCAACATGTATTACATAGGGTGGGTCAGATAGATCGGAGGAAAATTGCTGTGATCGACTACAATCCAGCTTCTTCGATCACCATACATCCAATTCACTGAGGTGACATTAGACGTGCTTTCTGATACGACCTAGTGGTCAAAACTGACTGCATACCTAGTCGGGAATTCCAAACTGGGACGAATGCAAAACACCGTTTATCATTCAAATAACCAATTCAGAATCTCAGCAAGGATTAAGGATGACGTACCTAGCTAGCACCAGATCGGCACGAGCAAGGTCGAGATATGTGCAAAGTGTGCAAAACACACTCATTTGCACACAAATTTGTTTTTGACGGCAGGTCCAACTAAATCTAGCTGATATTATGCAGATATGTGCGGCAAAGTAATATTCTGACAGTGTACGCAGAGAAAACCAACAGGCACATTAGAATGACTAAAAGTGCCGCAATTTCCTCAAGTTGGGTGATTTTTGCTCCCTTTCTTGTCTACTTTATTTGACCACAGCCAGTTCTCTTACTTATTTGCAGTAGTCTGAGGCACAGTGTGTCAAACACACTTCATGTGAAGGAAATAGAGTGGCTATGTTTTTAGGCCCATATACGTGTTTATTCGCGTTCCTCGCAGTCTCCACAATGTTGATATTATTCAGCATCATGTGCAGTTGACTGTTTAGCAAATTTAGATTTAATTTATGCATTTTGTTGAAGAGAACATTACGAAAGCGCTGCATGAATCCTGAAGAATATCAATACTGTATCGGAAACAAGATACTCCATTTGCAGCCTAAAAAATTGCTTACAAGCAAACTGTCGTCCAAAATGGAGATAGGTTTTCACGGCTCCCGAGGCCTTCCCAAACAGAATGAAATCGGCAGTAGGCTGTCTGGAGACCTTTTGAAATCTCCTCGTACCACGTAAATTGAAAAAATAGAAACATGGTAAGATTGGCAAATTATCGACCGTGAGTTGAATAGCAACGTAGTTTAAACGAGTCACAAAACTGACGTACACGACACCTGCATCCATATATAGAGTGGTAGTGTCTGGATATGCAAACAACCTAGTGCACTCTAGGACATCCTGAAACAGCTGTGACGGGAATGAGCGAATCCGCAGCACACGCTTGCGTGTTCATAATAAACCGTCAACCAGTCCTGTCAACGGACTCCTGGAGGCCATAATTACAACTAGGAAGAAGTGGAACCTCCGTGTACTAGACCTTACCTTCTAACGAATTCTCAGTGTTTTGGATGAGACACCTACAATGCTCCTTTCTGAAAACAAGTTCTTCTTATCATAAACTGGTGAGGATTAGTGTTTTCTGAATTCTACGGTTTCACTTCCACCTTAATGACGCAGCTAAGATGGTATAGGACTGTTAAATATCCCGATACGGAACTTTGAGTGACGCGTAGGTTCAACAACCCCGAATATCAAAAGGAAGAATTGGGTTCGTAATTCTACGGTACTATTTACACAAAGGGCAAGCAAATGTGTACAACAAACCTCAATTGTTCACGTTCGTGGGGTCAACACGTTCACAGGTCTGTCACTGACCGGCACAGTGCAATATCAACGTCCGCACACCAAACAACGGCGAGCGGAATGACGGCTCAGTAGCTTGGGTTGCAGTCGTCCCTTCCGACGACGATCTCGTGATTCTCATTGGACGTGCGATCACGCGGAGCCCATGAGAAAACAAGTCAAGGCAGGCCCAGCAAACGAGACATGAACGCACATGGGTAAGTAGGTCAGCAGCGCACATTCACACACAGACACACATGTCAATACACAGGTGTCGGAAATGACGTCCTCTGCGGCAAGGTGAGTGCCGGGCACGAATAAGCAAAACAACTGGAGGTCAAAAGTACATAGGCGGAGTAAGCAAATGAATGGGGGAATTATCATAACGTCAAGTTAGATTCAGCAAGGACTGTGTTGTGGTGATAGGACCAATAAATAGTTGACCAACTGTTGCAGGAGCTGTCTTGTCGAATCGTCTACCCCGGGATTAGGAATGTGCTAGTTAGTCCAAATATTTCCGCGTATCATGCGAACTAGGGAGAAAATTCCTTATGTACGGTCGCTTGGTAGCCAAAAGAATGCCTTGGCCTCCCAGCAATCAAGGCCATTCATGATCTCTGGTTTTCTTGCGCAGACGTCCCTCAGAATGCCACTTTGATTTGATTGTTCAGTATCCCACTGAACAGTTGAAAACGACCGCTTAAAATGCATAGCAGATGTTACCAACGAACCGCTTATTACCGACCTTACTAGGTTTGCCCCAGAGAATCGGGTTCCACACATACTGCACTGCATTAACGTCGGCTATGGACCATGCAGGGTTATACAGTGGTTTGAATCTGTCATCCACGCATCATAAATTGTCTCCAGATCAAACTTAACATAAGAAAGGCGAACCAGCTTTCCATAAGTTTTAAATTCAAAACACCCATATCCTTTTCAATTCAAAGGTCAATGGTACAAGGCTCGCTTACTCATCCTGAATACGCGCCATCTGTGGGCCGACTGAATTTTATAAAAGAAATCAATTGGACGACATATAACAGCAAGGATATTGAAGCAGAACTTTCACTTGTGTGGTGCATAGCTGTCATGAAATTCGAAGGAAGAATGTGGATTGAGATACCGTTAGGTTGCCCACCCCAAGACAGAAGCAGTCGAAACACCAGGATTGGGTTCGAACCACAGGCCTTCCGATCGTTAGTTTCGCACCTTAACTCCTGAGCTATCTCGAGTTCGAGGGAGTATGTTGACACTGACTGACTAATTGGCTCATTTTAATGCGGATCTTGAGCTGATGGTCGAGTTGTCTCTTAGGTATC